TCAAATGGCACATACGAACATAACACGACTATATGCTTGATCGCTAAACTTTAATATGACGTCCTCTCAAGTATGGGAATGTATATGTGTGCCTCACTCACTTTCTTATACAGATAAAGATATAGGTACACTCAAATTGGTCGATAACAAGTTCAATCATAGGCTTGCCCATTGTCTATCTTCTACTCTAAACCAATCAAAATCGAGACTAGTGAATCAAAAGGTCTTTCAGGGTTGTAACGTAGGCTCTTTGGATAGGTAGGATAAATATAGACTAAGTGGCTCGAATACAACTCAAACTCCTAACCCACGACTGCTCAAACAAACCGGATCTTCCCTCACACTTCTCCTAAAAACACACGTTTCATCCAACTTATTTGTTTTGCTCTTTTTTTCTTTTTTTTTCTTTTTTTTTTTGGTGCGACCCTTTTTGGTCACATTTTGTTACATTTTTTTCTTTTTTTTTAGAAATATAAACAAAACTCCACAATTATCCCTTCTCATCCTCAACCCGAGACTCAACAATGTCATCATCACGAGGTTATATAAGAAAAACAATTAGGCTCAAAAGGGCAACTAGGGAATAACTGCAGAAAAACAAGGATAGAAAAATACAAAAATGCCTTACTCATATTCACAGCACAAACCCAAATTGATTCATTTCGATGCAGACTTAGGACAAGTTCTAATCAAACAAGAGCACGACCAATGTATCTCAAGAAGGAAATAAGGCTCAAACCTCACTAGGCAAATATATGAATGTCAATCAAAGCCATTAACCAAGCATTTCACACGCTATGGCATATAATACTATCTTCACAACTCATCGAATTCATTAAACACGTTTCAACTCATCATGAATTTTCCAAGTACAGACTCTAAAACACATAGAACATACACTAGACCGGTCCACCGAGCAAGAGAAAGAAATAAAGACACATCCTAAAACAAAAACTAGACCTGGTCAACCAAATAGCCATACATAAAACACCCCCACACTTAAAATCAGACAATGTCCCCAATGTCGATCCGCAGTGTAAGGAAGGTGTACTACATAATCAACCAACACGACACAACAAATAGAAACATATTCACAGTTCACAACCAAATTGATTTATTTCGATGCAGACTTAGGGAAAGTTCTAATCAAACAAGAGCACGACCAATGTATCTCAAGAAGGAAATAAAGCTCAAACCTCACTAGGCAAATATATGAATGTCAATCAAAGCCATTAACCAAGCATTTCATCACGCTATGCCATATAATACCATCTTCACAACTCATCGAATTCATTAAACACGTCTCAACTCATCATGAATTTTCCAAGTACAGACTCTAAAACACATAGAACCTACACTAGACCGGTCCCCGGCAACGGCGCCAATTTTGTTATTAGTATTTTTACCTGAGTAGAATCGAAAGAGTCGTTCCCCGAGTCGTATCGCTAGGAAGGTTAGCCGGATATTCTTGTGCGTTTATTCAATCACGAAAAAGAGAAGACAAATTCCTAAACACTCTAATTCAATATTTTTGGGTTTCAAATATCAACTAATGATTTAAACTAAATAAAATGAAAGTAAAGTGGCAAATAGATTCACTGAATGATTAAAGAGCTAGGGAATCGAGGATAATTGCTTTCGGTTCTACCACAATTACCGGCAATCAATTGCTCAGTTAAGGACTTGAATCGTTTCTCGTTCAGAGGTTCACTCTCAATAACTCTTCGTAACAAGAGAGTGAATGTAAAAGATCCACTATCAATTCCAACAACACGTAGACTATACGTTTCCGAACAAGTCTATTCTAAATGAGCCTAAATCGACCAACGTCTCCCCTCTCGGTTCTATACGTTGATTAATTAGGTTAGAAAGGTGATCAATCTACTAACCCTATAATTCACACAACTCTCAGACATGAACAATCAAAAGCATTCAATTATAAAAGAACCTAATCAATCATCCCCTATCCCTAGCAAATGGATTTAGCTACTCATAACGAATTTAACATCACAATTCATATCAACCCCAGCCATCATCATCAACAAAGCAATTGAGAAAAGGAATTTACGATTAATATAAAGAACCCAATGTCAAATCCAAGTGCATCTAAATCCAAAGCGAGAAAAAGGAGTTTTTCAATCTCCAAATCGAATCAAAAGAGAAAAAGCATGAAAAGGAATGAGTTTCTATAGAGAAAACACGTAAAAACAAAGTCCGAAAGTGAATAATGAACCGTAGGACCGAAATCTGATGTTAAAAACCCGCTCCTCAAAATTTGCGCCGATAAGTCGCGAGTCGCGACTTCGCATTTTCCACTGTCGCGAGTCGCGACATCCTCGCCAGTCGCGCGTCGTCAAAATCTTCAATTTCTGGGAATTGGTCGCGACACAGCTCGTGAGTCGCGACTCCATCTCGCGAGTCACGACTCGTACTCTGGACTGCCTCTTAACCTCTGTTTCTTCCGCGGGTCGCAAGAAATTCTGGGAGCAGTTTTCAGTCCGTCCTGCAGTCCTCTTCGTCGTTTTCTGGGCTCGGCCACGGGAATTCTCGATATCACGGTCTCGGCTCAAGCAATCCCAACCTCGACCGGCACAACCTACCTCCTAAAAACACAAACACAAAAAAACACGAAGCAAAATACAACAAAAAGACACAAAAAAATATAAACTAAAGGTAAAAACACAAAACGAAAGAAATGGACCAAATAAACTACGAAAATCCTACAAGTGGGGAAAATAAAAAGAAAATAAACATGAAAGAAAGACACAAAAATGGGACAACAAGTTTTTTTTATTCAATTTATAAATGTTGTTGAAACAACAAGAGATGCTCTCTTTAATAAGATTAAATCTATTTTGAGTATATTGAAATTAGATTTAAGTGACTTGAGAGGGCAAGGCTATGATAATGGTTCAAATATGAAAGGGCAATACAAAGGAGTAAGTAGTAGAGTGCTAAATGAGTATCCTCGAGCATTTTACACTCCATGTGGTTGTCATTCTCTTAATCTGAATCTTTGTGATATGACGATGAGCCCGGTTCAGGCAAAGTCATATTTTTGGAGTGATACAACGAATTTATAAGTTGTTCTCTACTTCAACAACGAGGTGGGATGTTTTGAAATCCTTTGTAAAATATCGTAAAGGAAGAGGGCTTACTTTAAAGTCATGGTCGGATACGCGCTGGGAGAGTCGTGTTGATAGCGTCAAGGCTGTAAGATTCCAGGCACCTCAAATTAGAGACGCATTACTGCATCTAGTGGAACACAGTGGTGATGTAACAACGGCTAGTGATGCTAGATCTTTGGCGGACTATGAACTTCAAAGTTTTGATTTTCTTGTGGGGATCGTAATCTGGTTTGATATATTGCATAAAGTGAATTTAGTTAGCAAAGCTTTTCAAAGAAATGATATGGTCATTTGTGAGAGTATATGTATTTTACAAGGTTTGATTCTTTTTTGGAGGAATACAGAAACTGCGGTTTTGAAACTGCAAAAGTTGAAGCTCAAAAGATTGCATCCGAGAGGGATGTGGAATCCGCCTTTAGTGAAATTCTGATTCGTCGCAAAAGTAAGTTTTTTGATGACAATGCTCGAGATGAACCAATTCAAGGGGCTAAAGAATATTTTTGAGTAAATTATTTTCTTCAAATTGTTGATAATGCTCTTTCTGTTCTCCAACTAAGGTTTGTGCAGTTTCAAAAGTACGAAGAGATTTTTGGATTTCTATTCAACTTGGCCAAGTTGAAAAACATGGATGTTGAAAGTTTGAAGCATTCATGTATTGAACGTGAGAACTTTTTGAAACATGAAGTTAGCTTTGATATTGATGCACTTGAACTATTGTCGGAGTTGCAATTACTGAGAAAAGCATTACCAGATGGATTAACTAAAACAGTTGAAGTCTTGGAGTATATAAAAGATTTATATCATGGTTTCCCTAATGCCTGGGTAGCTTACAGAATATTGTTGACCATCCCGGTTACTGTTGCATCTGCTGAAAGAAGTTTTTCCAAGCTGAAGTTGATAAAAAATTACTTTTGGTCAACTATGTCTCAGGATAGGTTGAATGGTTTGGCGATGTTATCCATTGAAAAAAAATGGTTGCAAAACTTGATTATGGTGACTTGATTGATAATTTTGTATAAAAGAAGTCGAGAAGGTTGTAAGTTTATGTATTCTAATTTACTAAATTTTCTCATATTTATGATTTTTTTTTTGTATTTATTATTGATAATGTTTATTGTTATTTGTTCAATTAAAAAAAATAAAAAAATTAAAGTACGATTACGGGCCTCTCTTGAAAAAATTGTCTGAGACCTCCAAATTTCTGAAGACGGCCCTGCCGTGATAGCAATATAATATTAAAATAAATTTAATTCTTTGTAGATGAAGATTCTTTACTCATCACTTTAAGACAAGTTCATAAATAAGAATAAAAATATGTCAAAATTGAAACGTTGCATTTTGTCATTGCATATAAGACAAGTTCATAAATAAGAATAAAAATATATTAAAATTGAAACGTTACATTGTGTCATTGCATATAAGTTGTGCTTTATAGAGATGTTGGCTGAAGTTAAAATAATGCATATTGAATTTATGTTCTTTATATGATTTATGATGATTCGAAATAAATTTGGATAAATAGTTATAGCCCAAGTTAACTTGAATCAAATTGCTGTGATTTTCATAAATAAGAATAAAAATATATTAATATTGAAACGTTACATTGTGTCATTGCATATAAGTTGTACTTTATAGAGATGTTGGTTGAAGTTAAACTAATGTATATTGAATTTATGTTCTTTATATGATTTATGATGATTCAAAATAAATTTGGATAAATAGTTATAGGCCAAGTTAACTTGAATCAAATTGCTGTGATTCAATGTCTTATGTTTTAATTCGGATTGAGTGAAATATCGAATTGAAACCAAGTTCAAACCGAAGTCTTAAAAATGATAAGAGTATAAATCCCATAGTCACGAGCCCATATTGCGCGTGTGGAGCAACTTCCAGTTTTGGTCAAAAACATCAAAGCATAAAGGTCTCCACGGCCACGTTGATGCTCAGATCTGAACAATGGCTCCCCAGTAAGAATCTTATTCAAATCCCTCTTTCCAAGTTCGAATAATAAAATCAAAACACAAAAAACAAAAGGGAAATCAGCCTATGCGTTTGGACTGCGCACACGAAGATACACTACACTGCTAAAATACGTATCATACCACCCAAAATTGAAGTGTTCGAGGACGCTTCTCAGATCTGATTTCGGAAGGTTAATTTCGTATCAGTATTCTGTGTTCTTAGAATAATCACTGCCGTCTGCTAAAGTTTCTGAAATCGCATCATGGCGTGTGATATTAACGATTTCGAACAAGATAATTTTACCTCTTTTTTTTGTTATGATTTGTATGTGTGTGTAAATAAATTGATATTATGTTTAATTTCCTGAGCTATTATTTTATACCGATTTATTTGGAAATGTTTCTGGAGAATATTTGGTCTTGGAATTTTCTGCACTGGGATAGATGAATTTGGTGTCAGATGTTTGAACACACATACCAATTAGGTCCTGTTTGCTGATGTTGTCTCTGTTTCCAATTTTGCCTTCTCTGTAAGAAAGATTCATAGGTTGTTGTGTTGTGAAATGTGAAATGCTTTTAAGGTAGATAAGATGGAAGCAGACTTTTTCCTACACAATGCGGTCTGGAGTCTAGTCTTCTTTATTTTAGTTCCTTATATTTGCAGATTTTATTACCCAAAACAAAATATGTCTACTTTCTTATGATTATGCATTAACTACAGGAAATGAAATTAGAGTTTGAAGGATGCTTATGTGTACTAAGTTTGGTGATGTTATAGTAAAGCTCATAGTTAAGTTGCTTCATTTGATTTTTACAGAATATGTGATGAATTGAATTTGTGTACAACAACATTAATGGTATGTTCATATTTGATACTTGTTTGTAGAATGGAGTAGGCTATTTATCTGTTTTTGGCCTTTCCATAAACTTTTGCAAAATTATGCTACAAGCAGAATTGGTACACACAAAGCCTTCTTTCCCCCTTCCTTATAGGTTTAAGTTAGCGCACAAGCACTTATTCAAAGTATTCCTACCCACTCGCACGTCCACTATATCGAACATGTAAGTTGGATGAGATTCGTTGCGTGCCCTTCCATAACTATGTTTGTCCATACTGGTTATATATTACAATGCGGTCATATTTTTTTTATTCTAATTTGTGTATTGTGGAAAGCTGATGAAACATATGTGGTGTGTTGTTCTATATGTACTTTTGGTTTTGGTCAAATACTCCATGTACTACTAATCCTCCATTTTTCATAGTTGAACAATAACTATATCAATAATGGATGAGATACCCTTAAACTATATGAAAATATAGATTCCATATATTTATTGTATGTATATAATGATAGAAACGATAGAAAATTTCGCCTCCTATTTATAGGTTATAACAGGGTGTGTTGGTACAAAAATCAATAGAGCTTCAGTGAATTGTAAACTCAATTGTACAAATGTCTTGTCATCATGCTGCTTTCAAGTTTGTAATAGATGTTTATTTTACTTGTTGAATGAGGTAAATGATGTTTTAGCACATGGAGTATCTGATAGAATACTTGCTGTACATGAGATCAAAATGATTCTGCTACTACAGTTTATTAAACTAAAGTGATAAAATGTTGGCCAGAAAGGGGTGTTTTCTGTACTGTGAAATGCCCGAGAGTTGGATAGTTTATTACTTTTGTTTTGTGAGATTTGTCCATGTGTAGGTGCAACCAGCATGTAATTCAACATTAACGGAAATGAAATTATTTGAATTTAGTTTGCATCAAATGAAAGTGTTATACCAGAAAAGCAGTTTTGGCTGATGCTGCGGTGGGGAGTAAAGATTAAGGACCCTTGATAGTAAAACATAATTTTTTGTCGCTATAATAATGTTAGTAAGTAATGAGATCCAAAAGAGGATGCTTTCCAATTATGCCAGAAAGAATTATCTTGCCAAATAGCTGATTGTCCCCTACCTTCCTTCTAATAGTAACCCAAAATAGTGACCCCAACCTGTTGGGAATATAATGGGTATGTTGTTGTATAAAAGCAAGAAAATTTATAAGCAGAAAGAAAATCAGTATCTGGAAAGACAAGCAATCCAAATCCAATAGTTGTTGCCCGTACATCCTTTTGAAGAAGAGTAGTTGTGTTCCCTGGGATTGGGGTCAGTATATTCAAGAATGGGCGTTGAGTACATTTCAAATTCAAGGGATGAGATGAGGTTCTTTGCGATTACAAGAGTTGCAAAGGTTGGGAAACACTTGTTTGATTCTCTAGAAACCAGTCTCAGGCCACCCTAATTTCTGTTGTTAATGCCAATATGCTGGTTTGTTGACCAATGGGATTGGTCAATGGGATTGGAAAGCAGGCAATGGGGTTAGATATAGTTAAGGGAGAGTCCATTGTGGTGGTGTTTACTTTAAGCCAAAGGATGGCCCAGTGTGTTTGGATATGGTCACCTCAAGATGGGTTAACATGTTCTGCCCATGCTTGTGTGAAGTTCCCTGCAGGCCTGTTGTTAGGAGTACATAATTATGACTTATGAATCCTGATAACTATATTAATAATAAAGAAATAGGAAGATGAAACGCGACTGCTTTCAAGAAGAATCCTCTCAAGTCTCAGCAAGAACTATGTTGCCCATTAGCCAAAATTACTATAATCTAAATTGATTATTGGATACCTTGCCGCTATTTATGAAATCTCGTATTTATATTGAATTATTGTTATTATATAAGGTACTAAGAAATAAAAGAAGCTAGAATATAAATTAAATGTTTGAAGGTATCTAATAATCTCCAGAATCTGCCTATATATTCATCTTCCCGTAGTTGCCTTATTATTCCTTTTTGATGCTCTCACCTTGTATCATTGAGTCCCTATCATAAGGGCTACTTCGACATCAGAGGAAATTATTTTGGTTTCCGAGTGTTTATGTCCTTGTTTGTTTTATTTTACTTTTCTGGAGTCATTGAGTGATTAACTCTCCCGAAACAGCCTGAGGTGGAAATTATTCTGTCTTCCGTATGATTTTGTTGTGTAAATCACTTTTACGCGCATAGATTGTTATAATGATAGCTGGTTTGAGTTCTGTTGATTTTCTTTCCAACCAACCATCAATATGATTTTTATAGCATTTAGTAATTTTTGTAACTAATATTAAGCCATATTTTCATGTGGACTTGCCATTTTTATCCTTTAGGAATTGTGGAAATCATATACATTCAGCTTTAAGTATTGAAGAATGGCAGACAGTGTGTCAAGTTTTTGGGGCCCTGTCACATCTACGCATGAGTGGTGTGAACCAAATTATGTCTACTCGTCCTACATTGCAGAATTTTTCAACACAGTTTCCATTGTTCCGGGCATCCTTTTGGCACTCATTGGTCTTCTGAATTCATTGAGACAGCATTTTGAGAAAAGGTTTAGCGTCCTTCACATATCAAATGTGATACTTGCTATTGGCAGCATGCTATATCATGCTACACTGCAGCGGCTGTAAGTTTATTGACATCCTTTTCCTTTTATGCCTTTCTCCATGTTAAACACATTTATAATTACTTATGAGAGATTATCCTCATCTGTTACAGTTCCAATCCTTTGGTGCTCTTAAGAAGTAGTCATGAAATTGGAAAAATCACAATGAATACTTAAATAATCAGGGTAGACTGTTTTAATTAATATTTCCTAATGTGTCTTGAGAAATTAGCTGGTGCTCATGACTCTAGTTTAGAATTAGCATTTTCCTTCTTGGATCAATTCGACTTGAAAACCTCTGTCATTCTGCAAGCCAGGATAATATTTGGTCTCATACTTTAGGGCTTCATTTATCTTCTGATGGTATAACGAATGGAATTTTCCTTTTGTTATCATATTTTTGTGTGAAGGATACTTGAATGACTTAGTCTGTTCTGTCCTTGACAATATTTGCACATTTTGTTTTGTACTTTCTTTAGGACTTGAGTTTAGGATTGATCAGCCCTTTCATTGTTTCATTAGGATAAAGTAACTTTTAGATTTCAATGACACCAATATCATGGACTCCATATTCTTGTTAGTGATAGAAACACTACAAAATGGTTCTCTGGTTTGAAGGATATGATGAGTTAGAAAGGAACCAAATATTAAAGAAAGTCATAGTTCTTAAAAAAATTTCAGCCGGATTGAAATCTTGCTGCTTGCTGTAGTTGCATATTAATGTTCCATATTCATTATACTGGTGGGCCACTGATGTACAGGAATGGATTAGGTCGGAGCGCAATGAATTTAGGAATGAAATAAATAGAGTTATATGACTATTCATTTGTTTTGGTATGTACAAGGAATGTGAAAAATAATGCATGACCATTATTTATTTGATTTCAATACCTTACTGATAACTAGAAATGAGTGATGGAATGCGGCAAAATAGTTTTTTCTCTTTGTTTTTTCTGACAATACTCAACTAACGAGAAGAAAAATATTTGTTGGTATAAGAAAATGCACCCATGGGACTCAACTCCGAGTTCGCTCACAAAGAAAGAATGCATACCACTGTAGATTATTTTGATCCATGGTGAAACATAAACAAGGATACACATACTACATAGCATCTTTTACAAATATATCTTAGTGAAAGGAAAAAAATTAATAAAGAGGGATCGCACATGGCCAACGGAAGGGAACCCAACGTTGGAAATGGACCGGATAGTAAATTCATTGTTCTAGTTCTAATTTGGAACTGTGGTCAAGGGTTTTGGTTCGGTAATTCGGTTGATCACTGTTTCATTTCAACTAGTACCCAATCCTGTGCACATAGATGCAAATAAGATATGATAAGTCATATAAATGAATATTATTTTAGAAATCAACATATCTCATTTTATAAATTTGATCATTAGAATATAATTATAAAATGTTTTACTTATATATAAATCGTAAATAGATTGCACAAAAATGATTAATGTAAATTTTATGAGCTGAACGTATCGTGACCAATTAATGAATGGAAAAAATATTAAAACTATTGTTATAGCAATTGTTTAGACGATTTTTTAATGAGATAAAAACAAAAACATAATATTAATTATATCATAAGTATGATGGTTAGTTTCCATATTTAGATTAAAACATGAGCGGAAAATTTTTGGGATAGTATTAATCACAGTACTAAATATCGGCCTAGGCGGCTGCCTCCGAATTGCATGAATCGCCTGAAAAAATCGGCAAGGCGGGCTCGGCGGCAATTTTTCAATTTTTTTTGAATACTAATTACATTATTTTATTATCATTTTTTTATAATATATTAATATTATTATTTGGACTTAGGTGCGTGGATTTATTGTGAGTTGAGATAGTTTTATTTTGTAGGTAGTGAAAATAATTTAAAATTAATCTTAATTTCTAGTCCTAGGGCGCCTAGCGAGTTTTCCTTCTAGCGTCTTAGATATGACCTGCAGGTTCGCTTAAATAGAACCACATAGTTCATACTTATTTTGTGTGTCATGTACAGTGATACATGTTAAAAAATTACATGTATGCCAAAATTTTGACTTTCCCATAACAATAACAATATAAAACCAATGGCCGTTTTATGCTAATATGAATGCGAGTATGTCCCAAAAACATTTTCTATAATTAATTTAAAGATAAATATTTAAAGTTTAGGTTTATAACCTTACAGAAAATTTCATCATTAGATTTGACGATTTCGTCAATAGTAAATGGAGATTCATCTTTGGCTGTTACAATAGCTTAACCATGCCACGAAATAGCTATAACTTACTCTTTGTAATGGGAATTTCTTATGTACTAATCTATACTCATGATATGAATGGGAATGATTCAAGTGCTCTAGCTAACGAAACATTGTACATTGCTGTGTACCGATATTCTTTTGTTGTTCTAGTCAATGTTTGATATAATATATCAACTCAAATACTTTATGTTTCCCCTATTAGAATATGTTAGTGGTGTGTTAGTATATTAAAAAACTCAATCCATACTCAAAAAATCTAACTCAAATTTAATGCAACTCTATTATCCTCAACATTATCAATATAATTAAATAATACCTCGACCGGTTATTCTTACACATCACATCAACTTTAATTTACTATCCATCAACTCACATGATTTTAACTAACTATTACTTCACATCATTTCTCTCCTACTTTTACATCAAATCAACTTTAATTATTTTATTCTAAATATTATTTTAATATAAAATTAGAATCCAACTAACAACTAACTATACAACTTTTTTTAAAATTAACTCTGGTTAACCAAAAAAACACATTCTGAGCGGATATATTTGTATACAGTCACGCCCTAGCTAATTTGGAGAGTGAGTGAGTTAAGACGTTGGACTTGTTTGGTTAAATGGGTACTATATACGAAATTGGTTTATATTGAAGTCTGAATAATCCGAATTTATGTATATTGTCAGGCAACAACAAGGTGATGAAACTCCGATGGTGTGGGAAATGCTCCTTTACATTTACATCCTTTATTCACCCGATTGGCACTACCGCAGCACAATGCCCACATTTCTTTTCCTCTACGGTGCTTTATTTGCGGTTGCGCATTCTCAGCTCCGTTTTGACATTGGTTTCAAAGTGCACTATGTGCTGCTTTGCCTTCTTTGCATCCCGAGGATGTACAAGTACTATATTCTCACCGAGGACAGGTCAGCTAAGAGGCTTGCGAAGTTGTACCTTTTGACGCTTTTGGGTGGGAGCTTTTGCTGGCTGGTCGACCGCTTGTTCTGCAAGGACATTTCGCGCTGGTATTTCAATCCGCAGGGTCATGCACTTTGGCACATTTTAATGGGTTTCAATTCATATTTTGCCAATACTTTCCTCATGTACTGCCGTGCACGACAACGTGAGTGGAATCCTAAGGTGGAACACTTTCTCGGGTTTTTCCCTTATGTTAAGATTCACAAACCCAAGGCACAATAGAAGGAAATTAATTGGCCCCTTGGTGTTAGTTGGGAAATGGAGGTTGCCGTGACTTGTCACTTTTTTTTTTTTTTTCGGTTTTTTT